TCAGGACGGCGGTCGGGGGGCGGCGCAGCACAATAAGAAACGGCGCCACCACTGGCGAAGGTCAAGGGCGGCAGGAGCCCGATTCCGCAACGTTCGCGCGGCGAAAATTTTCGCGGGCGAAACAGTTCGCGGGGGAAAAAAGTTCGCGCACCGACGATTGCGCGAACTTTTTTCCGTGCGAACTATTTTCCGCGCGAAACACGCGAAATTTTTTCCACGCGAACTTTTTACTTATACAGTAAGTCCAACAACATAATAAAAAGGTCCCCCACAATACTATAAGGGGACAAAGGCTTCCAATTAAGGAGGGAAGTCCAGCACTTTGGACTTTCCCTTGAAAACCTTGGGGCCCAAGTGCCCAAACGTCCCAATTTGGCTGGTGACCTCAATAATGGTCTTTCACTTCCTTTAATGATGGAAATCAAGCGGGAAATGATTACCCCCTTAAATTTCCTTAACAGTGGCACACTTGCACTCCAAGCCGCGACCCACACTTATTGCGGCCTAGTCCCAACACACTAAGGGCAACGCACCACCGCCTCTGCCGGCCTCGATCATGCCGGATGGCCAATCGCTGGCCCTGTTGCTCCTTCGACAGTGATGCCTTTCCACCGGCATCTGTTGGCCGCCTCGCGGCACCCTCATCAGCTTCCATCGGGTGGGGTGGGACGAGGAGGGGCCCAGCAAGGGGCACACTCCGAAACCATTGATGCACCACCCTACGAAGGACCCGAGGTGGGTGCCACTATGGTGCGTTCGCCCAAGACCACATGGGTGTGGGGCTGAGGCGGCTTGGCAGATAGCAAAAATCAATTATAGTCAACAAAGCGAATAATACATATATAAGTTGAACCACCATTATTATGGTGCATTTAGAACATCAACTTGGCATATGAAATGCCAAATCTATATCCACATTATCATGTTCGTATCATGCTAGTTCGCTAAGGATGGCCAAGATGGTGCTCGCAGGCATGCTTGATCTCCCCACAAAATTTCCACCCGTCTAGGTACCCAACCAAGTTACGGATGCCAGTCAAGTGCTGCCCGTTGTGCGAAAGGCGGCCTAGAATGCGCTAAGACTCTCCAGGGATATGGATCCATCGTGCCCTAGATCCATCGATACACCGGGTGAGGCTCTGCCCAGCCTCGTGCTGCAATGTATCTTGGCTGAAAGGCTCTTCGCCAACAGCGCATGTGCAAGGGCAGATTAAGGACGATCGAGACAGGTGATCCTTTACAATCGGCAGGATCGTACTCCTTGTCCTTTGGAAACGAGGGAACGATCTTCGAAGCATGCCTTACAAGTGAAAGCAAAGTCTTTTACAAGTGCTGGCTTGCACAAGTCTTGTTGTGAGAGTCCAATCGAGTGGCGAGTCGAAAGACTCCGCCCTATTTATAGTCTTGAGGAGTTTGCTCCAGAAATATTTTGATGCTATTAGTAACATGTTTAGTAATCTATCACAAAAACGTCTCAAATATATTGTAGAGATTTGGTGACTATTCTATACAGTAGTTCATGTACAATGTTAGTCTATTGTTCAGAATATTCTAGTAAATGACATAACTTTGTTATGCCTTCCCTTCAAGGGGATGACGGGTCTTTCATTCTCTTGAGAATGTTCCAGGCCATTTCTTGAGATATGGTGCGTTCTTAATAATAGATTACATCAATGTGGCAATACAACAAGTCTATTCCCATTCTATAAACAAACCCAATTCCATTCTCGGCTCTCAAATCAAGTCTAATATGCTCTGTTATGCAAATTCAACCATGTCTTTGTCAATAATTATTTGCTTAGCCTGATTCTTTTTGTATTCAACTCTAAACTAAGTCTCTTTTCTGTTCATTTGATTATTTTATCCTGACCAAATCTTATAGGGAGTCCCCAATAGGGGGCCCTTCGAAGGGGAATGTCTTTCACCTGCAAAGAAGATACTTAGAGGTCTGCTAATTGTTGTACATCATCCATATCACAACCCATCACCACTGGGTATTCATGCTCATCACTGGACACAATTCCTATCACTTTTCAGTACCGCTTGCTTCCCACCGAATCAACACCCTTGACTACAACTCAGGGACATCTGTTCCCATCTTATGTCACACCAAAGCCCAACCTTTCTCAAGGCGATTCACCAGAATACCACGAACAACGTCTTCCTTCTCACCTATCAATCAGAATTCCAATGCCCTATCAAACAACTCAGGGCCATTCGAGGCTGCGCAGTTATGCTGTCAAAGTGCACATGCACTTCAAACTGATGCCAACCATCAGTCCACCGTCTAATTTGCATTTATCGTAATCATAACAACAATTGTGTTGTGCCATTTGGCTATGCAAAAGTCACGCCATGAGGCCATACTGCTACAAAGAGTCCTATTGCATTTTCCTAACACTTTATGAACACGTAATGAGCCAATCATTGTGCAAAACGGCACAATGACTAACAGCAAATTTAACAAATGGATGAGTGAATGTTGCTGTACTCTCAATGATGCTGCAGACAGCTGGCAGGGACTGCCACGATGTGTTGTCACCAACGGCATTGTGGGTGTGGCACGGAGTCTCTTGTAGAGTGCTGTCCGCCTCTGTCTAAAATATTGCTCCTGTTGCCTCAGGGCCTAGTGTGGAACTGCTACAAGAGCTAGGAACTTGGGCATCACGCCACGCATAGCTAGCCATCGTAGCATTCTGGGCGTTGCACTGGTGTGGAGTTGTGCATCTCTTGTGTTGCATTGTGCAACGGTGAGCGACAGCGGGGGGGGCAGTGCATTCTCCTGAATTCCCTGGCAGGAGCATTCAGCATCTGCCTGTCCCATTTGGTGGCCGATGGCCAAGAGAAACATCCACATTCAGTCGAGCGTGAGGTTTGATTATTGGCAATTGATGGACCGGGGTAAGTGTCTGGGTGGTTGGGGATGTTGTTGTGGACAGTTTTAGACACGGATGCAGAAGAAGGCATGCTGCCATTGCTCCAGTTGAATCCTCTCTTTGTGCTCTCACACATGAAAGCTGGGGTGCTTGGGACCTTTGCGACTGTCTAGACACCTCAATGTATGCAATTGCCCCCATGTGACGCTGACGACTGAGGACATTCTGCAGCAGGAAGATGTGCTTGATATCGAATTCAATTGCATTCGCGCCTTTGGGTGTCTTTCTGTTCGAGCGCCCACACAGAAAAGCCACCAAATAATACGCCATCACCCCAGTTTCATCATTTCGCCCAGCTTAGCATAGACTCAGGGAGTGCACTGTGAGTTACGAACAGCGACAAATTCATTGGCTTGGCTTGGCTTCAATTTGACGCAAACCGTGACAAAATCGACGCAGTGCGCTCCCTCATGGATAGAACTGGAGAAGGCCCGTTGATGCGTAACTATGGATCTATTTGCACATGAATCCCAATTCCGACTGCAACATCCTCTCTAAGAGATGAAAGTGCTTGATGACTGACTGATTTGAGGAGAAACGGAAGAACGCCCTTGATGCCGACTACAGGACAGTCCCAGCCAGCTGGAGGCCCCCAGCTGGGGGGTTGGCGTCTGACGCTGTCGACGCTACATGTCTAGAGGGCTTTCCGGTGCGCGGTCTCGTGGTCTTCGTTTGTGAAGCGCTTTAACGAATCTCAAGCAAGGGATATCTTCCCACAGAAGGCGCTCAGGACAGCAAACTTTCAGTCAGATTTCTGTTGTCTGTCCTCAAGGATCACACAAAATGGAATATCTCAACTGCAAGACTCTTTCCAGAGCCACGGATGTACTTCATCAGCTCAGAATTAGCTGGAGGTCCTGAATCGAAAATTGTGATCAAAAGTCGCTCCCAGCGTACATACATTCCTGTACATACAAGACAAAGTCATTTCCATGTCAATTCCTCAGGAAAGTATCAGCGTTCAAGCTTCAAAACCCGCCAGCCGGGATGGACGGGATGCACATCCTTCTGAAATGCAAATTCTAATTCCCTCTTTTGAAAGAGCATTTTTAAACCTTTCCAACAAAATTTTACAAAATCCCTGGCCATAGGCGTACATTTCAATATTCTTAACTCGACCGCACAATTCCTACCTTCTTGTGCCCGAGCAGCGACAAGTCCTGATAAACAGAGATGGCGCCCGCAACAATTTCGAGCGCACCAACATGCAGGGCTGCCGTTCAAGGAGCTCAGTTCAATCCCCCCCACTCTGTCACCCTACATCTACTTGTAACATCGAGATCAGCTGATCCTCGTGCAGAATAGCTCAGCCTTGTATCATGGCTCATGTCTCAGGAGTCGCACTGCCGTGCGCATCTCCATCGGCATAAAAATCTAAACTTACGAACCGATTGATGACCTATGCAATTCTCGACTGGTCGAGGAGCTATAGGCTGTCGTACATCAAATCGCAGCTGCCAATGCCTGTTCCTCAATGAACAAACGTGCAGCATGTCTAGTGGCTAGTCTCAGAACCCTCTTGCAGAAGGCGTAGATGCACACTCTTATGGTGCGTCGATGAAGCAAACACGTCATATGAATTGTCAGTATTTCAATCTAAAGCTTGCTTTCGGCTCATAAATCGTTCACACTGGCATCCCATTTCCCCACACCGCCTGCAAAACCGCAAGCGCACCATTTTGGCCTCGTGCAGACAGCTGTGACCCTTGCATCTCAATATCCATCCCTTGCTTCCCTGCAGCCACTACTGATATTCCTGGTAACAAATCATATCCCATCTCCTCGACTCCCTTCGAACGCCCTTCGTTTCTTTGCACTCACAGCTCAAACGCCTGGCGGCTAGTAGTAAACTCCGACTCACTCTAACCCCGCCCGCCGCCCCAACAGCGGGATCGCATCGATCACCGAAGATCGTCAAAGATCATCCAAGATCTTTCGCTCGTCAAACGGAAGGTTAGAACATTTCACGCACTCTGAACTTCTACACCCACAAACATCCACTCGAGTGTCAAGCAGTTGTGTCGGCTGTATCTTCCCGACCACCACGCCCTGGTCGCCTGGGCCTCACACGTCCGGCAGGTCGCCGTGGCCCCCGGCGTTGCCACCCGACGCGGACCAGGCGGGTCCGAAGGGCGACGCGGCGCCCTGCTGCGCGTCGGGGGCCGCCTGCGCCCCGCCCTCCTGCACGATCTCTTGCTGTACCTCCTGCAGCAGCTCGTCAGCCAATGCCGCGGTGCCCACGCTGCGTAACTGAGCCGCGAAGGGCGATGGACGGGCATCTTCCTGCGCCTCGCCGCTGGATCGCTCGGGCGGCGGGAAACCGAAACTGGGCGTCCATGACCGGCTGCCGGACCCCCTGGGCGCCACCACACCCTGGGAGGCGAAGTAGGCCTGGAACTTGCCCAGCATGTCGCGCAGCTGCTGGTTGGTGCGCGCGGTGCTGTCCAGCTGCTGGAGCAGCTCGTCCTGGAGGGCCGCGCCGTCGCCCTCCACCGCGGCGCCCGTCTTGTCTGTCATCTCCTTTATCAGCTTCTCCCTGCCGACGGTCATCTGCTGCTCGATGGTTTGCCTGCGCGGGGAGAGAGGGGCGGCGTTGGTTCGCTGGCGGCGGGGCGCGGAGCGAGAGGGGTTGGAGCGTGCGAGGGCACTTGGGTTTGACCATAAGCGTTGCAAACAATGTTGGAAATCAAGTCCGTGCACACTTAGTCCTTTTCGATCAACTTCAAAGCGTTAATCTTCCAATCTTTTGTCATCCTTTTGACGGCATTCGCGAAAATGCGACACCCCTCTGCGCTTGCACCCACACGCGAGGAACGGCACAGTCTAATGCACAACATTTGAGCGCACTATCACGAGACGCTTGGAAAGCAAGGCGTGCCAACCAATGGCATGCCTAGAAATGCGCTTGAGACCCTCTTGTACACAGCGAGGGGTGCTGTGATGAGCGCATCAGGACCCTCCAACGGGACAGGAAGAACACGTGGCGATCAGCAGACACAAAGGACAACCTGTACATTACCGTCGTCCGGTTCTGTACAAACTGGAAGCCTTGCAGCAGGCCAGCACAAGGCGATCTCCTACCTGAACCGCCGCTCCATGACAACGAGTTTGCCCTGCCATTCGCCTCCTTTGGAGGACTCGCTCGCCGACTCAGGTTCGAGGATGTGCAGGTATTTCTTGATCTTCTTCCTTTTTCCACAAAAGGCAGCGATGGGTCAATGGGAATCACAAGAGAACTCAACTATTAGACAGAACCTCGCACCTTAATGTCATACACGAAATGGAAATGCAACAGAACGAGCTGGCAACATTGTCTGCACCACAGGCGAGATAATGTGCCTCACCTCAGTTGATTCTTTTTCCCCTCTGACAACATGCTCTCTGCATCATCAATCACACTTGCCCTTGCATGAAGGAAAGCAATGTCTTCGACATCCTTCACTCTATCGAAGGTGTCTGACATTATGGCGATGAGCAAGTTGAGCAGGATGATCATCATGGACACCATGTAGAGCACGAACAAGGTGAGGGCCCAGGGCGCCAGTTCTGCTTCGTAGAACGCGGGCAGGTCAAAGTCCCCAAGCATCATCCCAAACACTGCGAACATCGAGCGATCCACAGTCCTGAAATGAGTCAGATAGAAGTTGTCGTCCTCACCGCCGCCCATGCTGTCCATGCTGTTCATGCGCTTTTCTTCGGCATCCAGCACGTCATGACGGAAGAGGACGAAGAACGCCATGCCGAACCCAAAGAGCAAGCCCAAGGAGACGATCAAGAAAAACACGATGTCCCTGACGATCTCGAAAATCATGATAACGAGGGGTCCGGTGGGTCTGAACGCCAGGAAGTAGTACAGCACTTTCCACCACACCAGAATCGTTGCCATCCCAACTGCAACTGACTGCAGCTGATTGAGCTTGCCTGTGGCCGTGAAGTGCAGCACTGGGATGACTAGAACGAGGAAGATGTAGGACATGAGCTCCATCACATTCCATTTGGACGACACCCACACCCGCATTCCCTCGTACCGTGTCTTTGGAAATTCTTTCAGGTATGTCAGGATCTGCTTGATCTCTCGAACAAAGTTCATTGCCGCCAGAATCGTGGTCAAAATTAAGAAAACCAAGCTCTGCACCCCGCGGTCGCCCTTCACCGCATCATGGGCATCATCGAACTCCTGCTTCCTGAGACCCACCGCGATGGTGTAGGCCGTGAAGAACAACAGCATGAAGACGTAGTGGACGATCTCCTCCAACATCAGCTCCCGTGCGTAGGTCTTCCACTTGTAGTCGATGACTGACATCATGGTCTTGGATGAGAAAATCTTCTTGGGCATGCCCTCCAGCAGCAAAGGCCTCAGGATCCCATCCATGCCGATCTGGGCGATGTCCGGGTACGGAATGACCTTGGCGTCGGCAGTCAGCTGCACGCCACCAGTGGTCTTCGTCTCGGGCTTGAGTTCCTCCCACAGGTCGCCGAGGGTGTGGGTGGCGGGCCAGTACTTGTCGCTGGTGCCGGTGAGGAAGAACGTCTCCCCGAAGGCGTCCTCCGCGCTGTGCGTCTCCCCTATCATCTGGAGCATCCGCTCGTCGCTGATCACCTCTGTCAGGAGCGCGGGGTAGACCTTGCCCAGGTTGAGCAGCGACTCCTCGAAGACGGCGGTCAGGACGGTCTGTGTGGTCAGGCCGGCCAGCAGTGCTTCCAACAGGGCGCGCGTGAGCTCGGGCGAGCGCTTGTCGATCGCGATCTGCAGTCCGTTGGTCTTCCTGTGGCGGTTGGCCTCCAGTGTGAAGAGCGAGACCTTCACCTTCTCGGTGAGCGCCCACTCGATCATGGTCTTCACCATTTCCGCGTTCTCGTCCATTATCGCCGCGAGAAAGATCGACAGGCCGTCGAGGGTGGGGTAGTTGAATAGCGCAGGCCCAAACTGATCAAGAAGCATCTTGAGGTTGTTGTTCATGGTGGCAGGGTCGGTCGACGGGTTCATGATTTTCAGCATGTGGTAGTCTGGCAAGCCCCCCTCGACGGCCTCGGCCGTCCAGATCATGATCTTGTTCTTTGCTGAAGCGCATGCCACCTTCCTGCCGTCGTGCGACGCCAGCAAGAAATTCTCCGGGCTCAGGTAGTTGCCCAGCAGCCGCTTTGGCCGCTGGCCTGCAGCAACGCTTGAAACCCACACACGATTTCGTGTGATTGTACCCATGGATGGAAACCTTGCAGGAGGCTGGTCTCCAACCACGTTGCTGGCCTCCACAGGCTCATCTGACACGATCCAGTTTCCATTTTCAGACACCAACGTGTTCATGGCAGCATAGTTAATCTCCATGTCCTGCAGAGGTGTGTTAGGGTAGCACACCACAGAGCTGAAAGCGCCCTCAGCAACGTTCATCCCCACGACAGCGAAGTTCCCATCCGGAGAAACGTTGGTTGGAAATCCGTGCGTGCTGTTCAAGTTGATTTGGTACTCCATAGTGCGCAGTTTCTGCCTGTGAACCAAGTCCCAGACGTGAACTCTTGTGGCCGTTGACCCATCGAACAACAGAGCACGGGTGCCCCGATGGGAGAACACGCAGGTTGTACCTGGCTCCCCCCTCACTCTGAAGATGACTTTGTCTTGACCCCCTGACCGCGTGCCATACCATTTCAAAACACTGTCCTCTCTGAAGGCCACAACAACGTCTTGCCCGTGCTCATCCTGCGAAAAGCAGATCGCATGGCAAGGGTCTTCAGATGTGGCCCTGGATGGATTTGAGTACATCGCACCAACCCTGGCATATCGCCTGCATGACACAACAGGCGCCAACTGCGGCATGCTGTCCTCCCTTTCCCTCTTCTTCAGATTGCAAAAGCTAACTTGGCTGCCCATGACCCAGAGGAAAATATCTCCCTCCTGGACGCAGGCCACGACCCTCTCCCCATCCTCCGAAAAGTTGAACCTGGAAAACCGGCGGGATCGAATTGATGACGAATCTTCCTGCGCCACAGACACCTCATGCAGCGCAGAGGCACAGCAGTCCCAGATGAAGATGGTCTCGCGGTCCTCCTGCAGCACACCGATCTTGTTGCCATCGCTGGAGAACATCCCGTCCACAAGAGTATTCGACGTCTGAATATTGGTCTCCACAAGGTCTGCATTCGACCCCTCCTCAGGGTCGCAGATGTTCCACACCAGGACTTTGTCGCCACCACACATCAGAAACTTCCGCCCGTCTTGACTGAAGTTGAGCCTGAAGGAGGGGGTGCCACCCGCATCGACGTCCTCAGGCAGCTGGAACTTCAATGCCACAACACCGTACACAGCATCCCATATGTACCCTTCATTCTTGGTTGCCATGTACAGTGCCACTCTGTTCTTGCCGCCCTTTGAAACTGCAATGGTGCTGGCCCCGGAAATAAGGTCTTTTGCCCATTGTACCAGGTGCATGTTCCTATCCAGCCCAAGCCTGTTCTTCCCAGCATCCAGGACATGAATCGGCGTCTGTGTCGGTACGTCCCAAATTGTGACCTTCAATGTCTTGTTCACGCCTGAGGTCATCACGCAAGTTGCAGCCTGGCAACTCTTACACTCCCACAGGAAGTTGGACCACAGCACGCGCTCTCCTGGCTCGTGCCTGAGAGTTAAGGGCCCATCAATCCCAGGAACTCCGTCGCGGGGCACATGGAATCGTGGATGCACAGCATGCTGCTCAGGCCAGCACTCGTTGCCAGGCAGTGACCTCAGCTTGGATATGTCCCACACCTTGCACTCGTGTTTGTGGCTGTTGCTGTACTGCGTCTCCACAACAGGGTCCCAGGTGATCAGCAAATTGCCGTCACTGGAAAAGGCCCCAGAGGAACCCCACAGCGAGAAGCTCCTGTGAGCGGCCACCTTAATGTCTGGCCACAGGACCACAAACCCATGAGAGTAGGAGGAAATGAAGCCACAAAGCAGGCGTTTCCCATCTGGTGACCACTGAAGTCCAGCATTCTCATAGATCTGATTGTGCTTCCAGGCGATCTGGAGCTTCAGCCCGGCTGTTGAGCCATCACACACTTGGACTGTGTCGAACACTTCCAAAAAGCCTGCCCTGACAATGCTGCCAGTGTGCTGTGTTGTGCTCCGTGCAGCTGCCAACTCAGGGTTCCATTTCTTGAGTTCATCAGCAAGCACGAAAAATGTCTCTGCCACTGTTGGCAAAGCGATTGCTAGCAGTTCCCCACCAGGCGAAAACAGGGGGGTGACGCCATCCTCATCGAAGAGCCCCAGCTCCCAGTCACCACCCACATCATGCACTTTTGGTGGCTTCCCAGAGCTCACATCCCATTCTGCCAGTCTGCCAGATCGGTCACAGGTCAGCACCGAGTTGCGGCCTCCTCGAAAGGTGGCAGCAGCAACTGCAGAACGATGGTAGCCATAAGTGCGGGCAATCAGCTTGCCATGCTCTGTGTCCCAAACACGCACCCCACCACCAGCGTTCCCAGTGACAAGGTGGGTGCCATCTTCTGAGAAAACGCACTGTGTGATGGAAAATGGACTCTGCAACAGCTTCTTGGGGAAATCGAAGCCCTCCTTGACCTCAGCACTGGGCCTGTGTGTGATGAGGTTTGGGTCTGTGCTGGGGGGCTCAGGGTTGCCCAGGACAAAGACAGGCATCCCATTGATGATCTGAAAGTCGTCATACAGTGACAGGACACTGCTGGCGATTTTTGGACGTTCTGCAGCCACATACCACGGATGCTGTCAGTGATGAGCTTGCAACAGCTATAACCTACATACCAGTGTTGCAGAATTGAAGGAAAATGTAATTGGCAAAGTGTTCACAGGAACCTTGTGGAAATGGGCTGCTGCCGGTTGTCTCGTTTCAAGGTTTAAAAGTTTCATGTTTGGTGAACCATCCAACCAACAAAAAATACACTGGGCCCTCTTCTGCGTTGATGGTCAATGCAGACCTGCCAATGGCAAAAGTGAAAATAAGATACAGGTGCGAAGGCAACATCGTTGCTCTGTGAGTGCCAGAATGAGTGTGGACAAGTGCCTGCAGGTGATGTGGTCATCAATGTGCTTGCAGAGTGCTTAAGTGCGACAGCATTTTGCCACCTGCCCCTGCACTACGTCAAGCTAGTTTTGGATGAATGTACTTCATTGAATAACGCCCAAACAGCCACACAGACTTGAGCACAATTACCTGAGCTGCCGTCTGTTTTCCCATCCTCCACAGCACCTCCTGCGTTGATATGTCTGTAGGTGGTGGACAACCAGTCCCATCCATTTCCAGGGCTGAGTATGATTGCTCGTGCATCTTCTATGGCGACATTCAGTCGCTCCAACAAGCCCATTCGCGAGGGCCTGCCCACACATAGAAGATCAGTCGCTTCACAGCACATACAGTGCTTCCACGCACTGTGAATCTTGATTCAAATTATTGGTCCAAAGGACTCAAAAATTGCAGTGAGAAGGTAGAATTAGTTATATCTGACACAACAGATGTCCGATTCCGATCGCGGCCTTGGAAATTTGGCCACCAAATGCAGTTGCCGTCGCAGCAATACCGATCACCAGGTGGGCAGCCGTCATGCCCAGAATCTCGCATTCCGAAGTGTGGTGCACTGCCACACAGTGCCAGATGGCGCCCAGAATGGAAATTCAGACGCGATGGGCATAAACACACATCAAACACGCTCTAGAATCAATCGAAGGGCGCGGCGCTGGAATGCTGCGCGCAGCTACGAAACTGCAGTACTTGCAACCGGCCTGAATGGTCAACAATACTCTTGGTACCAGCCCACTTGGTGCGGTACACACTCGCGGGAAATACAATGCTCGCAAGCCCACAGGGTTGCGATGATGCGTTGCGCGCAGTTCAGCAGTACATAATGCGCCACGCCCGCCAATATCCCCTTCGACCGCGCTCGGCAGCAGCCAACAACAACAAATCGCCAATTTCCAGCGCTGTTCAGACCGCAATTTCGCGAACGTGCCCGCGCACTTCTCATCCCTCCGCCGCACGCCACATCTTCCCACAACCTCATCGGTGGTTCGCAACGAAACGGCCAGCCCGCGAAATGGTCTCGAATTCGCATGCAGCATGCACCCGCGGCACAGCCAACCACCGCCCCAGTACATGGTTCCAGTGCCTCGGCGCCACACGGGCTCGCACACCCCAGTACTTTGTGCACTATTGCCCGCCCCGCCACCGTTACCTCCATGTTACGGCACCGTGTTGAGGGGAATCTGACGCACGCTCGACGCGACAGCACGGGGGCGGGTGGCCGGAGCCACACAGCGGGCCTCCGGTCACGTCCGCCCGAGCGGGGAGACCGGCGGAAAAAGGGCAGCGGGACAAAAGTGTCCAGCGCGACAAGGCCAGGGCCCCTGCCACCGAGGCGTTCTCCATATCGCCGCGCCCACACGCGTTGCCGGCAAACATGAATTGGATCAATCCGTTCCAGGCTTTGCCACGGGCGGCACGCGGGGGCTGCTGAAGCTTGAGGCCCGTTCAATGGGCTCGTTGGCTCCGGGTGGCGTTGGGTGGGGTGGGGGGCAGAGCAAGCCGCATGCTCGGGCGTCTGTCCGCGCAACCGGTTTGATCGATGGGGAGACTCGGTAGGCGTCCGGCGTGGCAGACGGGGGGAGGGCATGCGCATGTGCAGGAAGTGTTTGCTGGTTTGGGGGGCTGGGGTTTGGGGGTTGGGGAGGGGGAGGTTGGTGAGCGGGACGGCGGGACGGTGGGACGGCGGGAGAGGAGAGGGTCGATCGGGGTTGGCCGCCGCGCCATGCGGCTGGGCGAGCAGAGGCGGCGGGCGTCACACAAGGGCCGCCGCCGCCTTGCGCGCCTGTGCGCCGGTTCCGGAGAGCCGGTTGAACCCACATGCCGCCAGCTAATCGGCCGATGACGCGAACGAACCCCCTGCGCACGGGCCCTATCGAAATGGCCGCATCGGGGGCGGCGGCGCGAAGGATGCCCAAGCCGGAGGGGGCCCAGCCAGGCAGGTTCCGAGCGGGTTGGGAGGCAGCACCGAACCGAGGGTCGGTCGGAATCAGCGCCAGGCCACCCACCTGCCCTCCGCGGCGGGCGCTCGTCGGGCCGTGCTGAGGCCGCGCTCGACGCCCCGAGCCCTCGGCACGTCGGCTGGGGCGGCTGCGCCTCACTGGCAAACCATGCGCCCCGCCGCAGGCGTCAGGGGTGATGCGGCCCGAGCTGAGGTGAGCTGGCGCCGGCAGAATCGGGGATCGCAAAAGCCAGGTGGCGGTCCGCGCAGCCTGGGGATGTAGCTTCGGCGATCCTTGGAGCTTCGCCCGCGTCGTGGGGGCCGTTATTGAGCGCCTGCGGGGTGGGGTCGTGCGGGGCTGCCGCAGGGGGAAGAAGGGAGGAGTGGTGGCAGCGAAAATGTGTGTGGCTAAGTAGGTTCGACAGTCGGGCGCGGCCCCGGAAGTTGAGGGGTACCCGACCCCGGGACGTGACCCGGACGGGGCGCCGCCCCATAGGGCAATGATTTGATGGGAGACTATCGATTTGTCAAAGTGTGAGATTTTGAGCCGCGCTCGGGCCCCCAGGCCTAGCGGGAGGTGGCCAAGGGCCACGCCGGGGGTTGGCCTTGCTCTGGGGCGCGGTATCAATGGACGACCGGCTTAAAAAAGGGATGTGACCATTTTCCTTGTTGGAACGGCTTGCCCGCTCGCCTGCTGTTTCATGGCTCACACTTCGCGGCTGGGCCAGAAGTCGTCAGCCTTACCTTGTGCGCCTGTGACATGGCATTCAAAAAGTGATGGTTGCGTGAACTGATGGCCAGTGTTGGTGGCTGTGGACGCACGCCCGCCTGTTGTTTCCGTGGCTCACCCTTTCCTGGCTCGTCCACAAGTCACGCGGCTGCCAGCGTTTACTCTGCGCGCCAATGACGTGCTCACAGTGGAAAACCATGGCGTGATGTACGATAGTCAGTTCTGATGTGCAGTACTATGTACAGCCTAACCTCAGGCAATACATATTGACGTGTGCCCGCGCTTGACAGCAACACCTCTTTGTGAGCGATCAGAGGCACCCGCCACTGGATGCCTCTGCATTTGGGCACCGTCCTGTGCGCAAAGCAGCTTGGCAGACTCGCTGACAGGCCACATAGGCCCGTCACCTGGCAGCAACCGCCTAGTGCCCTGGCATGAACCGTGCCAAGTGTCAGCGGACACAACGTACCTCCTGACGGGTGGATGGTACTCGAATGGCGCTGGGAGTGCTACACAAAGGTCAGAACGAAGGTGCGGCTGGCTCGTTGCAAACTGTAAGCCATATTTGGCACCAGGCTTGGTTTTTACGTCACAAAAATGATTGTATTTATGTTTTATGCGTAAAAATACCTTTTACGTTTTTACGCATTAAAATGCGTAAAAATACGTAAATACAATGGACAGTACATACTTACGGAGTTTGGAAAGTGGCAGACAAACGCCCTGGAAGGGGCAGAAAACGGGTTTTTGTTAAATGCCATCATCGCCCTTGCCAAGGGTGAGGTGGACATTGTGCTGTGGGTACTGTTGTTTGCAGAGGACTGATCATTGTACACAGCTTTCATCGTGTAACCTGGGTGCCCCAGGGAGCCGGGAAAACGTAATATAACCGCGAAAATTAGATTCTTTGCAAATTTACGTTTTTATGCATAAAAACATAAACATAAATGTAAAAACCGAGCCTGTTTGGCACTTGGTATCAAAATCAGGAAGGTAATACTATATATCACGTTTTCTCTGTGCTCGATCACTGCGAAAATACAGGGCACTGAACAGTCCACATCTAGCTGCCAAAGTTTCGTTGTAATACGTAAGGGTGAAAATGTACAGGGAATGTCACCTGTACTCCAAAACACAACATTTCTTGTACTTTCGCAGTCAAGAGAAATCGCAGTGTAGAAATGCCCACCGGCAAACGTCAGCTAATTCGAATATGAAAGATTTCTAGCGCCAGTAGGAAAGCAGTTCACAAAACATGTCAATAGGGAAAACAGGGGATAATACTTTGACAGAGAATCGCATCACCAATCAGTCAGTTTTTGTTTTCCCAGTCAAGCAAGCAAGCTTAAGCATGCTTGCACAAGCATGTAAGCACGCAAGCAAACACTTAACCTGTCACATTATGGGATTTACCACGTCAGAATGAATGGGGGACTAGGAAGCCGTCAGCTCACGCCACGTCCACCAGGTACCGGCAATTGCTGTGTTGTGAATACTTGCCCATTGGGAACCTTGGGACACAACATGAAGTTACTGGGTCTTGGTGCATTAGGTGAAGTGGGGTAGTTTGTGGTTTTCTCTCGGTTCCTTAGGGCATTGGGACAGGGGCCATTGGGGGCCTCAAGGATTGTCTTGGTGTGTTGAGGGATTTATGGGAACATTCATGACTTTATTGTGGAGTTAAAATGGGGCCACCAATATATTGAGACAATTAAACAATCTGGCGTTAAATACTGTATGTTGTACTGTTGTAATCGTTTCGTTTCGGGTCCCACGCCTGCCTCACCCGCCTGGGCAGGTCCTAGGCGTGCCCCGCGGCGCCACCCTCTCGGGGGTGCGTCGCGGGT